ACGCGCACACACATACACATACACATGCACACACATATGTATGAAGGTGCATATATAAACACATATATCATATTATATGAATATATGTGTGAACGTACAGGTACACGTGTGTACATGTAACTATGCGTATGCATATATGTATATGTGTGTATGTGCATACATCGACCGATCACTGTACACATACGTATACATTTACATCTGCATTTGCATACACATACATATACACATAATGCATGTATGAACAACCCCCTCCCTGGTGCGCGGAACGCGCACGGCAGCGCAGATCCAAAAAATCAGCGCAGAGGTCTAACATGTCAAAATTTTGTTTGCCGTTTTTTCTTATTCGGATGGAGGCGGGGGTACGGTTTGGTCTCGCCCACGTCTCTGAAGCATTCCGAGCCCGACCCCCGCCGCCCATCGAGTTGCCTGAACTGTTGATCGGCGAGATTAACACGGGGGACACGGGTCCAGAGGGAAACGGGTCCTGGACCCTGGAGCCTCCCCCAGGACCAGTTCCCAACCATCCTGCGTTGGGTGCCCGTTTTGAATGGAAAAGTGCGGTCGCACACCTTCCTTCCTTCCTTGTTCCCTTCCTTCCCACCTCCTTCCTCCTCTCCTCTTTCCCCTCGCCTTCACCTCGACAGTTTAGAGGGCTGCTGGGGGATTCAGCGGTGTGAGGCACCACCCAAACTCAGATTATACCTCGCCATGCCTGGGGGGCTGCCATCTGCAACACTGCCACCACTTTCGGAGGCTGCTGGGGTGTTCAGCGGATTGAGGCACCACCCAGACTGAGACAAGACCTCGCCATCCCTGGTGTGTTTGGGATCTGCGAAACTGTCGACACTTTCGGGGGCTGCTGGAGGGTTCGCCGGAGCGAGGCACCACCCAAACTGAGATTAGACCGGGCTGCGATCTGCGAAATAGTCACCATTTTCGAAGGCTGCTGGGGGGTCGAGCGGAATGAGACACCACCCAGACTCAGATTAGACATCGCCATCCCTGGAGGGCTGCGATCTGCGAATTTGTAACCATTTTCGAAGGGTTGCTGACGGGGCCACACGAGTGAAGCACCACCAGACTCAGATTAGACCTCGCCAACTTCGGGGGGCTGCGATCTGCCTCGCGGTCGCCACTTTCGAAGGATGCTGTGGGGTTCACCGGAATGAACGCACCACGCAGACTCACATTAGACCTCGCCATCCCTGGGGGACTGCGATCTGCAAAACTGCCACCACCACTTTCGAGGTCTGCTGGGGGGTTCAGCGCAGTAAAGCACCACGCAGACTCAGATTAAACCTCGCCGTCCCTGGGGGGGGCTGCGATCTGCCTCGCGGTCGCCACTTTCGAAGACTGCTGGGGGTCGAGCGGAACGAGACACCACCCAGACTCAGATGACACCTCGCCATCCCTGTAGGGCTGCGATCTGCGGAACTGTCGCCAATTTTGAACGCTGCTGGGGGGCCACCGGAATGAGGCACCACCCAGACTCAGATGACACCTCGCCATCCTTCGGGGGCTGCGATCTGCGAAACCTGACACCACTCGGGAGGGTTGCTGGGGGGTTCGGCGGAATGAGGCACCACCTAAACTGATATTAGACCTCGGCGTCCCTGAGGGGCTGCGATACGCAAAACAATCAACACTTTCGAGGGCAGCTGGGGGGAACAACGGCATGAAGCATCACCCAGACTCAGACTAGACCTCGCCATCCCTGGAGGGCTGCGATCTGTGGAACTGTCGCCACTTTCGAAGCTTGCTGGAGGGTCTAGCGGAGTGAAGCCCCACCCAGACTCAGATTCGACCTCGCCATCCCTGGGGGGCTGAGATCTGCGACAATATCGCCATCCCTGGGGTGCTGGGGGGTACAGCGGAGAGAAGCACCATCAAACGAATACTAGATCTCGCCATCCGTGGGGGGCTGCGATCTACGAAACGGTCGCCACTTTCGAAGGCTGCTGGGGGATCCCGCGGGGCGCTGCCGCGGGCGGCCCGCAGACCTGGCGGCGCGCCTTCGACTGCGCGCTGAAAAGTGCAGGAAGGAAACACTGAAGCTGGCGGGCGAGCTATGCCTCGCCCGCTTCTTGCACTATCGATGAGCAGGTTTAATCATTGTGTCAAGCGCCGCGGCGTCATGGCGCAGGCAGCGCTGTATCTTTAGTGCGCTACCGACAATAGCAACACTCGTCGGTCTCCTTCCGTCACTTTCGTCGTCGTCCACTGCCCCCTGCCACATTCCCTCTGCTGCTGCCGCGCTGACGGTTCGGCCCCCCCGCGTCCTTCTCCTGCCCATCGTTCCCGCCCACATGTCCTCCTCAAGTCTGGGCCCTCGTTCCCCATTGTTGTCCTGTGAACCGTGCCACGCGAGCGCACCCCATGTGGTTTGCTCAACATATAACGGCGCATGCACTGTCAGTGTCCTGGCAAGTTTGGGCTTACTCCTTGTGTCACTTGATGCAAATGGGTCGGGTACGTCGCAAAGAACTTGTTCCTCCTGCATAATGTTCTGCAAACCCCGGGGCCCATGGAAGGCTCCGGGAATCAAAAAAAAACGAAAAGCCTCAGGACCCGTTTCCCTCAGGACCCAATCTCCCCATGGCGACGATTGGCGACCAGCCCTGGGGGGCAGTGAAAAGGGGCAGGCCTTCTGAGAAGTCTCCGAAGCCCCCCGAAGTCTCCGAAGCCCTCCCCGAAGACGGAGAAAATTTCTCAAAGGCGGGACGGTTTCTGAAAAGTTCCGTCGCCTTCTGAGAAGGCCTTCTCCCTCTCACCTCCAAGGGCGCCAAGCTTGTCGCTTCGAAGTACGCGAAGCGCGAGTAACTCCGCGCTCTCGCGCCGCCCCCCAGGGGAGAAGAGGAGGATGAGAAGGAATCGGAGCCGAACCGCGAAGCGCGAAGCGTGGAACGCGAGTAACACTTCGCGCCCTCGAGGGCGTCCTTGCCCTTCCCCCCCTCGCCCGCCGCAGGGCCGACGCCGACGCCGACGGCAACGGCAGCCCACGACGCCGACGACGACGACGCCGACGTCGCCGACGGCGACGGCCGCCCAGGACGCGGACAACGACGGTGCCGACGCCGACGGCCGCCGAGCCGCCCACGCCAACGGCGACGGCGACAGCCGCCGGCGCCTCCGGCGAAGGAGAAGGACGAGAAAGAGGAGGAGGAGGAGGAGGAGGAGGAGGAGGAGGAGGAGGAGGAGGAGGAGGAGGAGGAGGGGGAGGGGAGGAGGAGGAGGAGGAGGGGGAGGAGGAGGAAGAAGAGGAGGAGGAGGAGGAGGAAGAAGAGGAGGAGGGGGAGGAGGACGAGGGGGAGGAGGGGGGGGGAGGGGAGGAGGAGGAGGAGGAGGAGGAGGAGGAGAGAAGGAGGAGGAGGAGGAGGAGGGGGGGGAGGAGGAGGAGGTGGAGGAGTAGGAGGAGGGAGGAGAGGAGGAGGAGGAGGAGGAGGAGGAGCAGGAAAAGGAGTGGGAGGAGGAGGAGGAGGAGGAGGAGGAGGAGGAGGAGGAGGGGGAGGAGGAGGAGGAGGAAGAGGAGGAGGAGGAGAAGGAGGAGGAGGAAGAGGAGGGGGGGACGGGGAGGGGGACAAGCTAGGTGCGCTCGCGTCATATGTGACATCCTACCCCTCTCTCCCATCCCTTACCATAGCGTAGATCCCCTCTCTACTCGCACAGTCGGATGTCGAGCAGGGCAATGATCCCGAAAGGGTACGCGATGCATTGTAGAGCACGGCGTGGCATGGCGTAGAAAAGCACCGCAAAGCGTAGTATCAACCTAGCATTGCATTACATGCCGTGGCATGGCACGGGAAATGACGCCAGCGATGCAGCGGGAGCACAAGTCGAAACGAGCGGAAACGCGGAAATGAAGCCAACTCTGCAGCGGGAGCACGATTCGGAACGAGCGGACGCACGGAAATGAGGCCAGCGCTGCAGCGGGAGCACGATTCGGAACAAGCGGGGCCCGAAAATGAGGCCGGCGCCTCAGCGAGAGCAGCATTTTGAAATTATCCCAATGCAGCGCTACCTAGGAGTTGGAGCCCCTAGGAAAGCAGAATAAGCTAACCGAAGCTAAGCTAAGCAAAGATAGCTAAGCTAAGCTAAGCTAAGCTAAGCCAAGCTAAGCTAAGCTAAGCTAAGCTAAGCGAAGCAAAGCTATGCTAATATGATAGAAGCTAAGCTAAGTTAAGGTAAGCTAAACTAAGCTAAGCGAAGCTAAGCGAAGCGAAACGAAGCTATGCTAAGCTGAAGTTCAGTTAAACTAAGCTAAGATAAGCTAAGATCAGCTAAGCTCATATGAGATAAGCTAAGCTAAGTTAAGCTAAGCTCAGATGAGATAAGCTAAGCTAGGCTAAGATAAGTTAAGCTAAGCTAAGCTATGATAAGATAAGCTAAGCTAGGCTAGTGTAAGCGAAGCTAAGCTCAGCTAAGCGAAGCTCAGCTAAGCTAGACTAAGCTAAGATGGGCTAAGCTAAGCTAAGCTAAGCGAATATAAGCTAAGCTAAATTAAGTTAAGACGAGATCAGCTAAGCTGAGCTAGGCTAAACTAAGCTAAGCTAAGCTAAGCTAAGCTAAGCTAAGATGAGATAAGCAACGCTAAGCGAAGGGGGCGCAACTGGGGGAACCGCGGGGCGGGATCCTGGGGGAACCGCGGGGCGGATGCCGGGGGAATCGCCCGGGGCGATATCCACTGCCCGGCCCTTTAAGCCCAGAGGGTAAGAACCCTTCGAGGCAGAGCCTAGGCAGGGAAAAAATGCAGGCGAAAACCCAATGCCGGGGAAATCTGTGTATAAAAAACAATACGCGGGGGGGGGGGGAGGGGTCGAGCACTTTCAAGCCGCCATCAGGGGAAGAGGGAAAGTAGTATTCATTTTGAATAATTGGGGAACAGGAGGTGGAGAAGGAGAGGAGGAGGAGGAGGAGGAGAGGAGGAGGGGGGGAGGAGGAGGAGGAGGAGGAGGAGGAGGAGGAGGAGGAGGAGGAGGAGGAGGAGGAGGAGGAGGAGGCGCCTCGCCGAGGGCCGCGCGCAGCTCGGCCAGCAGCGGCCCGCAGGCGGCCTCCGCGGCGGGCCGCGCCGCCTCGAGGGCCGCCACCTGCACGCGCTCGTCGACGAGGGCGCGGGCCTCGGCCTGCGCGGGGAGGAGGTGGAGGAGGAGGAAGAGGGGGAGGATGAGGAGGAGGAGGGGGAGGAGGGGGAGGAGGAGGGGGAGGAGGGGGAGGAGGAGGAGGAGGAGGAGGAGGACGAGGAGGAGGAGGAGGAGGAGGTGGAGGAGGTGGAGGAGGAGGAGGAGGGAGGAGGAGGAGGCGGAGGTGGAAAAGGATGCTACATACCCAGACACGATCGCGCCTTTAAAAGAAGAGCACGACGGAGTTGTTGTTGCCACTTTCGGCCACCAAGGGGTCCTCGCCGGGCCCAGGGCCGTCCGAAAACGCTTCAGGATGAGAAACTGGCCCCGGGAAAGGGACGAGACTTCCGGGGGCCGCGCACTGGAACAAAAATGGAGAAGGTCGCATGTCCGGGTCCTCCTCTTCGGTGGCAACAATCCACGTGGTTTTCGCAAATTGCTCCCTCTCGCTCCCTCGCCCTTCCACCTGCTACTTCCTCCTCGCCGCTCCTCCTCCTTCTCCTCCTCCTCCTCCTCCTTCTCCTCCTCCTCCTCCTCCTCCAACATCCCTCTTCCTTCTAGATAGCTCCTCCCTGTCGCACCCCGCGTCCGGTCGAAAGGGCGGGCCAGGCGTTTCGCCTGAGACCGCCTCACCATCTATGACCTGGACGCTTAAAAGCTGGCAGCTTCACAGATGGAGGGCGGGTCGATGTTAAAATGTAGCTATCGCCTTAGCGCCGCGCACACTCGTTGTAATATGCGAGGGCCTCACTGATTGATGGCGGCTCCTTGTCAAAATGTAGCTCTCGCCTTCGCGCCGCGCGCACTCGTGCTAAAAAGTGCAAGAGCGTCACTGGTTCTCACTGGTAACGAATAACGAATGGTGCTATGGAGCGAGTCGGGATTGTCAGTGCGCAACAATTATGTTGATTCGCGATGTTGAAGCCCCAAGAATGGTGTTCTTGCAAGATTCTGGATTGCCTAGACGTAACAGACAGGTTCACTCGTGGCGTTGAAGTCCTGAGAATGGTGCTTTGGTACGCTTCAGGATTTTCACACGGTTGTCCCCCAACGGGACACGTCCCTCAGTGGAAATGAACCATTGCAGGGGTCCATGAAGAGGGAGCTCGGAGGGAGGGCGTATTCCAATATCGTTGATGACTCTTGGGTTTACACTGGTCCTCCTCCTCCTCCTCCTCCTTCTCCTCCGCCTCCTCCTCCTCCTCCTCCTCCCCCTCCCCCTTGGAACGAGGGTGCAGACCTCGGTCTGCGCGGGGACGAAGCTCCTCCTCTTCGGTAGCAGCGCATGACGACGACGACGCGGCGACGACGGAGGCCTGAGGCGGACAGGGGCGGATGGCCGCGGGCGGCGGTGGGCTCCGCCTCGACGCGATCCTCCTCTTCTTGAACAGCCTGCACACATTTCACGCAGCCTGGTCTCTATCAGGGAAGCGTCGTGACCGAAACTGTGACCGATGATCAGCCCGACTGTGATCGAAACTGGCACCCGATGTTTTCTGGCCGCGCCCTAGCGTGACCGAAATGTTTGGCTCGAATACAAGACGATGTCCAACTTCGGTCACATGTTCGGTTACACTGCGTGTTCGGCCACGACTGCGGGCACGCCTTCGGTCACCGATGTTTGTTCGGCCCCCTACCTTTTCGGCTGAAAAGGGCGGGGTGCCAAATCACATTTGCCTTTTGGCGCTGCTCGTTATCGCGACCCCGCTGGTGCTTCGGATCAGGCATCCGTGTGCTCAGGAATCCGTGGCCGAGACTCGAGGGCTCAAGACGCATCTCTGCGCGGCAGGAGCACGCGCACGGGCCTCGGCCATGAGCGAAAGCGAGGCCGAGCGCGCCTCGCAATACCCATCTCCTCTCGAGCGAAGCCCAACCTCCCCGCCCTGTACACAAGATCGGAGAGGGGCCAGCGAGGCGTGGCGGTGAGGGTGGCGGGCACGTAATTCGGGGGGGGGGGGGGCCCCGGGCGTCTCCCAGGGTGCGTTCTGGCCAGGATTCCGAGGCCGATCCCGCCGTGGCGACGAAGGTCGCACAGGAGCCCCTGAAAGGGCCAGAACGAGGCAAGAGGAGTGATGTCGGCATCCTTCTGTTTCTGTGATAGTAATCATAAGGAGAAGACGAATAAAACATACGTAACGAAATACAGAAATGCATTCGATCATCGCATTTCAAAAACAACAAACCCACGAAAACGAATGATAACAACTAACATGAGAATGGCAACAATCCAAACATATTATAACTAAAAATGATTATACGAATAATAATAATAATAATAATAATAATAATAATAATAATAATCCGCCGACCCCCTTGTGTGGCCACCAGGCTGTGGGCAGAAGGTTCGCAGTGTCCTGTACCAGTTGCAGCTTCCAGATTCCACTGTTACGGTTCTGTTTCTTGCTGCTTACTGTTCCTTGTTGATGGAGCGCGCGAGGGGGGAGGCCCAAACGGGCAGGTTTAGCACGCCCTGAGCGTGTGCTCTGAATTGCTGGGGTGGATAACAATTCACACCCCTCACGCAGATCGGCGGGGTCAGGGTCCAAAAACACAAAGAATTTGCCACATGTCTGAAATTTGCTGGCGTCCCTCACGCAGATCGGCGGGGTCAGGGTGCAAAAACACTCGGGATTTGCCACATTTCTGTCATTCGGTGACACCCCTCATTCAGATCGGCGGGGACAGGGTCAAAAACATAGGATGTGCCACATTTCTGAATTTCGGTGGCACCCCTCACGCAGATCGGCGGGGTCAGAGTCCAAAAACACAACGGATTTGCCACATTTCTGAAATTCGGTGGCACCCCTGCCGCAGATCGGCGGGGTCAGGGTCCGAAAACACAAAAAGGATTTGCCACATTTTGCAAATTCGCTGGCAACCCTCACGCAGATCGGCGGGGTCAGGGCCCAAAAACACAAAGGATTTACCACATTTCTGAAATTCGGTGGCACCCCTGATACAGATCAGCGGGGTGAGGGGCCAAAAACACAAAGGATTTGCCGCACTTTGAAATTTGCTGGCAACCATCACGCAGATCGGCGGGGTCAGGGTCCGAAAACACGGGGAATGCTCACGTGACACCCCTCACGCGGATCGACAGGGTCAGGGTCCAAAAACACACGGGATTTGCCACATTTCTGTAATTCGGCGGCACCCCTCACGCAGATCCGTAGGGTCAGGGTCCGAAAAATAGAAGGGATTTACCGCATTTCTGAAATTTGCTGGCACCCCTCACGCATATCCGTAAGGTCAGGGTCGGAAAACAAACAAGTCCCGACACTGCTTCACGGCGGCGCCCTGACCTCATGATTTATCTGTTGCATCTCCCACTATCCGAGACAGGGGGCCGGCGGCATGGGGCGAAGCCCTTACAGATAACATCACGACTAGTAGTAACCATACTGAGACTGAGAACAATGCCTTTGCTTTGAAAACAAAAACTGCGGAGCGGCCGGCGGGCACGCGCGAGGCGGGACAAACCGACGTGGTGAAATAGCGCTTTCACCTGTACTCGCCATCGCTCGGACGTCCATTCCCCGTGCATGTGTCGGTCTCGTGTTTCGCAAGATGATCCAGGGTGCTCCCCGAGGGCCCTCGCCAAGAACAAATGCGCACGTCCGAGCGATGCCGAGACAAGTGCCGAGGGTGCGGGCTGCCCGCTCCTAGTCGTCCTCGTCGTCCTCGTGGGGGTGGCCGGACGGCCGGCCGTATGGCCGCACGAGGTTCGAGGAGGAGGAAGAGGAGGAGGAGGAAGAGGAGGAGGAGGCGGAGAAGGACGAGGAGGAGGAGGAGGAGGACCATCACTTGGCCAATGGGGAGGCTAAGGGTTGGCCGACCCGACCCTAACCCGAAACCTCGTGGTACTCGGCCACCAGTTGTTCTCCACAGCGGCCATGGGTGCCGCTGAGACGGCAGTGCGCTGCCGACTCTGAATGCGGTGCACGGGCCTGGTGTGGCCTTGTACACCAGGCCTCAGCAGCACCGCGCCGCCACCGCCCACCTGTCTGCGCCGTCGCTGTTCGCGCAGAGTAGAGCCACTTGAAAAAATGAACGCCGTCTGCGACGACGCCCTGGGTTTCGAATGCCGACCAGAGGCTTTCCTTTTCAACAGTGTCGAATGCACTCTTGAAGCCGAGCGCTGCCATCCAGAAGGGGCCATTCCATTCGCGTGTTCTTCCCCTGAAAGAGCGGATTGCGAACGAATGGCAATGCGCGGATCGCCCGGGGCGGGCCCCTGCTGGATCTGGAAGTGGTGACTGGCCCAACCGCGGCCGCAGCATGGCGCGCAGGTGGGCAAAGTACGCTGCGCATGGGTCGCTCGACACGAGGTTGCGCATCGCCTGCTCTGGGGGCGAATGACTGCGACGACCGCAGGTCGCCAACATTGTGGGGCAGGCGCACTCGGGCGGAGAATGGTGCTGTAAAGCAATGAGATAGCTCGCCTAAGCCCTGACGGATCACGTTTCAACATGTCCGCCCCGACGCCGCTCGGGCCCGGAGCTGCGCAGCGACTGAGGGTGGACGGTGCCCCGTCGAGGTCTCGGGGCGCATGTGGCGGCGCGGCGGCGCCGCCGTGGCCAGGCGTCGCGGCTGGTCGAGTGGAGTGGCAAAGGTGTTCGTGGGAGTCCGCAAAGACGCCTGCCGTGGACTCTCCGCCTGCATGCATTTTGCCATCTGCGCCGCGCATTCCTGCGATGAGCGCGCCCCCCCGTCTCGATTTGACCGCAGCGATTCGTTCGGGCCCCCGACATCCGCCTAAGAATTTAATGTTATGTGCTCGTCGGGTGGCCCGCGTGTTGCGTCGGACCTCTCGTCGGATTTGCTTGCGGACGGGCTGTCGCGCATGCGCGTCTCGGTAGGGCGTGTTCTGCCGCGACGTTTATGAGGTGCTGCAGGCGCGTCGGGAACGGGGGGCGCGGCCGCGGTCGGTCGGGCGCTTTTCTGCTCGTCGACGCTGATCCCAACATTGTTTCTATATGATCGCTGAACTCCTCTGGATGCCGAGGTGGGTCAGCAGTCTTGATTTTGCCCGTGACTGTCAGCGTTTAAATGCCGGTGTCTATGTCGTTCCATCCGGAATCGATCGTGATTCGTGGTGAATCGCCAGCGATTCCGCTCGCCTGCGCCTCGTCGACTGCTGGAAGAGCGCCACGGCAGACAAAACCGCCCGAGCGACACTCTATGGCTCCACCGCAAATCCAACATTGCTCGCCTCTGCATTGCGACAACATCGAAGGACGTCTGAAGTCAAAATGCAATCGATCTGCTCCCCGGTGCCACTGCGGCGCGTGAACGTCGTCGACTTTGGAAACTGCCTGCGAACACAAATTGTTGACGGCGACGAAACGATCTTTGGATGCCCGCGCGCGCAGCCATGCTCCTCGCGAATCGAACTGCCCGACTCGGCCAGACTGCTTCTGGGTGTCAAACTTTCGCATTGAAGGCGCATGCCAAGACAGCGATGCACTCCTGGTTGCGGGCTTCGGTGCGCGGGTCAGATATGAGCGAACGCGCGGCCTGAGCGCGGTGGCCCGAGTGCCCCGCGCGAGGAAGACGCGCTGCCGTCGGCACGAGCACGACAGAACCTCGTCGCACGTGGAGCGCTGCCAGCCATGGGCCAATAGCTTCGGAGGTCCACGTGCGCTTCTTCCATCTTTGTGCACCAGCAGCCCCGCTCCGCGCACTGGTTGTTCGCGGTCAGCGCCAGGAAACTGGGCGCCCGTAGCCCCCCGCATATCTGAACTCGTTGTCCTCTAAATCACGTTGTGTCACGTGTCAGTGGGTCGCGCGCAAGTCGCGCGTGGTCATGTAGATGCGTCCCTCGTTCAATCACTGCGCATTCTCGCATAGGATCGCACTGGCGCGGCCGCCCCCCCATCGGAGGCGGGCGGCGGCGGGCGCTGGGCAGCGGGGCCCGGCGGTCGAAGATCGGCCGGTTGAGGTCGCGAGTCGGCGGGCGGAGGTCGACGGCTGGAAGCGGACCAAGATTGGAGAAGGGAGTCGGGACTTGGCGCTTGGAGGTCGAATGGTTGAGGTCGGAAGCCGGGGTGTGGATCTCGGAAGCTGGAAGCGGAATATTGGGGGTCGAAGGCGGGGTCGGGCGCTAGAGACCAGAACCGATGAGTGAAAGGTGGAAGACGAGACGCGCGAGCTGGAATGCGTTTGAGATCACGATTGGCGCGGGGGCCAGCCCAGCTAGCATCGGGCCTCGCTCGTCGCTGCTGAAGGATGCAAATTGGAACGTCGCCGAACATGACGTCGCAGGCCTCTCGCCCTCCCTTGTTCCCCCAGAGGTTGGGCGACAGAGGTCGGGGCGCCGAGTCGGCGGGCGCTGGAAGCCGATCGATGGGGGCGGGGTGGAAAGGGGCATGGCGCAGGTTGGAAGTCGGAATGCAGAACTGGTAAACGCTGGGGATCGCTGGGCGGAAGTGGAGGCGGGGCGTCGCGCGCTGGGGGCTGGAGGTTGGGATGCTGAGCTGGCGGGCGCTGGAGGTCGACAAGCGGGAATGGACATGGAGAGTCGGGCGCTGGAGCTGGGAAGTCGGAATGCCGAGCTGCTGGGCGCTCGAGGTCGGCTGGCCGAGGTGGGCATGGAGAGTCGGATTCCAATGCTTCGAGGTCGGAATGCTGGGCCGGCGGGCGCTGGTGGTCGATTCGTGGAGGCGGGCGCGGAGTCGGATGCTAGATGCTGGATGGCGGAATGCTGAGTTGGCGGGCGCAAGATCGATTGGTGGAAGTGGAAGTCGGATGCTCGAGGGAGGTCGGAATGCCAAGCCGGCGGGCGCTGGGAATGGATGGGCGGCGGTGGAAGCGGCGAATCGGTTGCTGGCGGTCGATTCGTGGAGGTGGGAATGGGGGGTCGAATGCTGGACGTTGGAGATCGGAATGCTGAGTTGGCGGGCGCGGGAGGTCGAGCGGCGGGGGTGGCAGTGGAGAGTCGGATGCTAGAGGCTGGAGGTCGGACTGCAGAGCTGGCGGGCGCTGGAAGTCGATGGGCGGCAGTGGAAGTGAGGAGTCGGATGCTGGGGGCCGGAGAATGGAACGGCGAGCTGTCGGGCCCTGGAAGTCGGGAGCGTCGGATGCTGGAGGTCGGAAGCTGGAATACTGAGCCCGCGGGCGCTGGAGGCCCATGCGGAAATCGAGACCCAAAGACGCCGATTGGTGGAGGCGGAAACGGAAAGTCGAACACTAGAGGCTGGAGATCGGAATGCTGAGCTGGCGGGCGCCGGGGATCGATTGGCGGGGGCAGACATGGGAAGTCGGGCGCTGGAGGTTGGAGATCGGAATGCTGAGCTGGCAGGCGCTGGAGGTCGATTCGTGGAGGCGGAAATGGGGAGTCGGATGCTAGAGGTTGGAGGTCGGAATCTGTTGAACTGGTGGGCGCTGGAAGTCGGTAGGTTGAGGTGAAAGTGGGATGTCGGATGCTTGGGGGCGGGGGTCGGCATGCAGGTGGGCGCTGGGCCTCGAAGGGTGGATTTGGATGTGGTGGGTCGGTTGCTGGGAGGTTGGAGGTCGGAATGCCTGGCTTGTGGGCGCCGGGGGTCAGTGGGTGGATGGGGGAGTGGAGAGTCGGATACGAGGGGTTGGAGGTCGGAATGCTGAACTTTTGGGCGATGGAAGTCGCTTGGTGGGAACGGAAGTACGGGGGGGGATCTTATACTAGAGGCTGTAGGTCGGGATGCTGAGCTGGTAGACTCCACGGGTCGATAGGTGGAGGTGAAGTGGAGAGCGGGGTGGAGGTCGGTAGGCCGAGCTGGATGTGAAACTTGAAGCTGATCTTGATGAGGCAACCCTGCTGGGCGTGCCTCTATGCCGCCGCCTGTCAGGTCATCGGGCAGTGAGGAACCTGCGCGGCAAAATGCTGCTATCGCGTGGTATGCGCCGAAAGCTTTTCGCGCCGCCGTTTTGACACAACCGCGAAGGCTCCCTCTCTGAAGTCTCATCGATCACTGTCCGCGTCGGGGTCGGGGGTGGTTCTGGACAGAACAATGAAATGGAATGCCCACTTTTTCCTTCACAGATTTGCGAACTGTCGCGGTGTCCGCTGTCTGTACGCATCGTACCATGTCACTAACCACGTACGGTGACTATCCGATTTCCCCGTAAGATTAGCACAACGGCTTCCCCGTGCTCCGGATGTTCGCGTAGATGGAACGTCGCGTAGCCAACCGCTTGTCTGCAGCATGCTCCTCGGTGGCTTGATTGTTTGGGAGCATACACCATCCAACCTTGTTTGGTCTTCGGCCCCCTGGTATTTCTTGCAAGATGCAGCTTTACCTGGTCCGGCCCCCAACTTAAACATTGCCATCTTCGCTGGTCTTTTGAACGTGTTCACGCTGAGGTTGCTGATGCTTCCCTGCGAACACATGAATAGATCTTCCAGCTTGTATACAACATCTTATGCTGCCAATGGCTCTTGTCACCCCATTGCAACCATCTGCTTGCTATTGTCAACTGTGCCTGTGGTGTCCTGGATGTTGTTTGTGGTTGTGCTGATTTTCTCTTTGATCATTTTGACGTCATTCTTCAACTCGGCGTTCGATGCCTCGACGCGTCGAAGTGTCTCCTCGACCCCCGCCACAGCCGTAATTGTTTTCTCAGCTGTGGCACTCGCGGTGTTCACTACCAGTTTCGTCTGGGCTGAGTCATGGGTAAGGTTCGACAGCATGTCGTAGATCCTGTCGGTATTCTCCTCATTCGTCAGATTGCCTGTTCGCATCCGTTTTCAGCTCGTTCGGCTCTGGTGCGCTACCAACAGAACCTTCAGTTTTGCGCTCGCCGTCCGTGGGCATCACAGGCGGACTCGCGTAAGTTAGTGATGAGGAAACGAAGTGCAATAGTGGGTGATCTGTATTCGATTGGATCACTTGAGCCACGGCGTCCCTTGAGCCAGAAAGGCCAGGGAGGAGGGAGGGAGGGAGGAGGGACGAGGAAAAGGAGGAGGGAGTAAGGGTGGAGGAGTGGAGGGAGGGGGAAGGAGACATCCGCCCGAACGGTGCCTTCGTCAGCTGGGATTTCAGCTCCTCGCGGAGCTTAGTCATCTCGCGGGTGACCTTGACCGCGAGGACAGGGAGGGGAGCAGAGGCGGGCGATGGAGGCGGGGGAGCAAGCGGGGGGAGGGAGGAGGGAAACGAAGATCGCAGGAAGGGAGGCAGGGGGTGAGAGTGAGAAGGTAGGAGAGAAGAGGGAGGAAAGAGGCAGGACAGTGGAGTCAGTGTGGAGAAGGCGGGAGACAAGGAAGGCGAACTACACGCGATGTTGAGGCAGGGATTGGGCGCACCTGCACCCGAGAATGTGCGACTTGTTTTGTTGCGTGTTTCCCTCCTCTGTCTCTCTCTCCCTCTCCCTCTCCCCCTCCTTTTCTCTCTTTCTCTCTCTCTCTCTCTCTCCTTCTTTCGCTCTCAACACAAATATGTCTACATAATCCCTCTCGCCTCCTCCGTCCTCCGTCCTCCTCCTCCTTTTGACGTTGAGCGGGCTGTAATCCTAAGGTTGTAGCGTCCGTGAGAACAATCGCATGATCCTCCTCATCGTCCTCCTCCTCCTCCTCCTCTTCTTACATCCTCCTCCTCCTCCTCCACCACCTCCTCTGCCTCCTCCTCCTCCGCCTCCTCATCCTCATCTTCTCGCCGTCAATGCCTTCTGGGCGCCCTGGATCAATCCGCCCATGTTCTCTGCTGCGTCCTCCTCCTCCCTCGCTCCCTCCCTCCATCCTGCTTCCTCTCGGATCCCCTCCGCCCCTCCCTTCGCTGCTCGCCCCCCTCCCTGTCTGCGGAACCCGAGGTGAGAGGCGTGCGGGGTCCCGCTGGCGGCGCGAGCGCGGGCGGGAGCCGCGAGCGGCTCACCGTGCGGCACGGCAGCCCGGCCCGCGCGAAGACGACGGAGGTCACTGGCCCCCCGTGCCCCTCGAGGGCGTGCAGGCACTGGCCGGATGCCGCGCTCCAGACCTTCACCTGCGCGGCGAAGGGACCTGTCCCCCTACAGGGGGATTTTCGACGAAACCGAAAAATACTCCAAAAATGCTCAAAAATAGTCAAAAAATACTCACAAAATGGTCCCCCGACTATTTTTTCTCTATTTTCGAACATTCCCCCTGTAGAGGGACAGACCCGACTTAAACCTACCATTACCACACCCACCCGACCCGAAGACCCGACTTTCGGCTTTGGGGGGGGGTACGGGTTCCACATGTGTTGTTTCAGTGTTCCCCGACGGTCGACGTGGGGGTTAAGAGGTACCGAATCACTGCTTCTCGCTGGGCCTTACACAGGGTGCGTTCTGACCAAAATTCAAAGTCGAGTCCGACGGTGGTTACGAGGGAACGACAGCGGTATCCGCAGATACAAGAAGAAGCCAGGACGAGGATAGAATCGGGTGAGGATACATCGAGAATCTCTGAGATCCGGCGGCTCGGAAAGATGTGTCGAGCGCCGCTGCTGTCTCAGAGCGTTCCGGAACGCTCTGGAACGGATGTATCCTCGTCCTGGCCCCGTCCGAGTTCCTCTGCTGATCGACTCCCTGGTTCCTGTGTCGCTCACCTCGCTGCGCCCAGACGCCGCGGTCAGCAGCGTCAGGCCGTCTGGGGAGAACGCCACGGAATCGACGCGGGCCCTGTGGACCTCCAGGGTGTGCAGGCACTCGCCCGTCGCCGTGCTCCAGATCTTCGCCGTGCCGTCGCTCGAGGCCGTTGCCACCGCCAGACCGTCTGGCGAGAACGCTACTGAATTGACGCTGAGCCCATGGCTGGAGGAAGAAAAAACTGCATAAACATAAACTTTGGGGGGTCCACGCGGATTTCTCGGATCGGCGCTGGAGCCCCCATAGCGGCGCCGCCCCCGGCGCGCTCCGCGCGCCAGGGAGGGGGTTCCGAGGCCGATCCAATAAATCCGCGCGGACCTCCAAAAGTGTATGTTTGTACCATTGCCTCTTCTTCTTCCGATGGCCCTCCAGAGAATGCACCAAACTGCCAGACACTGTGCTCCAGGTCTTCGCCGTGCAGTCTACGGAAGCCGTGGCGGCCGCGAGGCCGTCCAGGGAGAATGCCGCCGACGTGACGGCGAGCCCGTGCACCTCCAGCGTGTGCAGGCACACGCCTGAAGAGGCGCTCCACACCTTGGCGGTGCAGTCGCCAGATGCTGTGATCACGGAATCGCCGTCCGACGAGGTCGCGGCAGACTTTACGATGTGCTCGTGGCCCTCCAGGGTGTGGAGACACTCGCCCGAGACAGAGCTCCAGATCTTCACTGCACCCCTCAGGCTGCCGGCAACTGTGACTACACTCTGGCTGTCGTGCAAGAAGAGAGCGGAGTGAACAGGGCAAGCGTTGCCCTCGAGCGAGCACGAAAGCTCTCCCGAGGCGGTAGCCCAGATCTTCGCAGTGAAGTCCTCAGAGGCCGTGACCACAGCCTGGCCATCTGAGGAGAACGCCGCGGAGTTGACGCAAAGGCTATGGCCTTCAAGCGTGCGCAGGCACACGCCCGTGGCGGTGTCCCAAACCTTCGCTGTGCTGTCACTCGAGGCCGTGGCTACCAAAAGACCGTCTGCAGAGAACTCCCCGGAGTTGATCCGAAGCCCATGGCCCTCCAGGGTGCACAGGCAGTCGCACTCGCCCGTCGTGACGCTCCAGATCTTCGCCGTGCAGTCGGCGGAGGTGGTCAGGACGCGAATGAGAGGAGACACCACGAGAATCAGCTGTGCGCCATGTTCGGGGGCGGGTGGGCAAAGGAGCCGTCACGCGGAGAGGATCCGCCCGAGCGACCCGTGCCAGGGGAAGACGAAACATCAACTCTCAAGTTGATCGACCTCTGGTCCAGGTCGGGAGATTCACTCCCGCCCCCACGCTCATCCGTACCTCCAACACCGTCATGCTTTTTAACTCCACCACAGGGGCCCCAGGAGCCCTCGTGTCGTCTCGGGCAGTTTTGTTGACGGCCCCAGGGCCGACAGCAGCCCTCGGCTCCGAGCTCTCGAAACACGCAAGCAAACCACGCCGTCGGATGCCTGGGTATCCCTCCCCCCTCCCCTCGGAGGCTGCGAACAGCGCGACCAGCGCCCGGGAAGAGCATCGCATACACCACGGGGCCCGCCCCCCGCCCAGCGTCTGGATGGCGTCGCCCGATTACGTAAACGAGCCATGACGCAAGCGTGATGCCCTCTGGGCTGATCGCCGCTGCAGCAGCCTCCGACCATCCTCGTCCGCAATTTCCCCAACACCCCACGACGCGCCGCGGTAGCCAGGTCTTCACAAGGCTCCGGATGTTTTCGGAACTTCCCGCTTGCTCTTAGAATGTTTGCGCCCTGTTGGGCAGCCAGACGCCTCCGATGGCCTCCAGGTACTTCTTTGCGGCCAGACTTCCCACGACCACTACTCTGAGCTATGTTGGAGAGAACCTGCCAGACCCCGACGACTTCAACGCGCTTTGGGTGCGGTGCGTCATTACAGATCCGAGGTCTGAAAATCCATCAGCCTCGCACCTATCGCAGCAGTGACGGAAACTCAGGACACTGCAACTATCTTCACCCCCTCACGATTCCTTCGTGACCGGGGCCCCCGGGGTTCTCGGACTCTTCCCTTTAAGAGGCGTTTCGGGCTCCAGAGAAGCGGTGCTCATTTAGGGCCTCCCCCTTTTGTGACCGATGTCCTCTAGGATTGCTCCAGGGGGACCTCAACGGCCCCCAAGGGGGCCCAGAAGGCTCCCCAAGGGGCTCTAAGAGAGAGAGCTCAGAAGGCTCCCCAAGGGGCTCCCAGAAGGCTCCGAGAGGTCTCAGCGTTGACCAGTTGACCCCTCCTGTTCACTACAGCACCCGAGCAGTGCTTGCACGGGCGGCCCTCCTTGCTCTCTGGGGCACTGGCCCTGCGTGTTGCAGTCGGCCGTTGGCACGGGAGGAGGGACAAGGAGAAAAAAGAAGAGGAGGAGGAGGAGGAGGAGGAGGCGGAGGAGGAGGAGGGGGGACGGGGGTCCGGGAGGGGGAGAAGGAGGAGGTGGAGGAAGAAGAGAAAGATGAGAAGGACTGCTGCCCTATGTGTCGGTGCCCTGTGGTCCCCTGTTTCGCACGAGCCGGCCGTCGGTGCGCTTTGTGACCTCCTGCGCTGCGGAGCCCCAGTGGTTGGTGGCCTCTGGCTCCCAGGTCTTGTCGCGGACGACAGTTCGCGCACTGGTGCCTTACAACCGAAACATGGCCACAAGAACGTGGGACAACGTCATGAGCGTCTCCGACGAAGGCCCAAGCTCCCATGGAGGTGCCCTCCAAGGCTAGGGTTGTTCCTAACCCTCGTGCCAGCTGTATGCGTTGGTGCTCTATGATTAGTACCCTGAGATTCCCTGTTTGTCGCGGTGCGTGACTTGCCCCGACATCGGCGGCCACAGCAAGGTCACGCATCAGAGTTGTTCACGAGCAGAGCGTCGTGGCCTTCAGCTGGTGCCCTCCTTCCATCCTTCCTTCATTCCTTCCTTCCTTAACTGTACGTGGCGGCATGCCGCTGGCGCAACAACCATAGGGCGCCAGCACCGTAGGGCCCTCTGGTTGGTGCCCGAAGGTTGTGCCCTGTGGTTGGTGCCCTGCCCTTTGGCTGGCGCCCGACTGTGCAGAGCACCCGCTCTGTGGGGTCCACGCGCTGGAATCGTACTCTCTCCCACCTCCTGCTTCCCGTCTGCCGACAACTCGCACATGGCACAATCCGCGTAAGGGGTGTGCCGAGATGGGTGCGGAGCCGGAAACGGACCCTGCCCACCGATGCTGGAGCAGGCGCGGGCCCGCAGGAGGGCGCCCCCACTGGCGCCGTGGAGCTGCAGGACCCGCGTGAGGCGTGTGCCGACATGGGCGCGGGCCCGCGGGCGGTCCTGCGCCCACTCGGGCCGCAGGTGGAGAGCACGGTCCGCGTGAGGGGGGTGCCGAGCGAGGCCTCTCTGGGGCCGCAGGTGGACCTCCCTACGGGAGCGCGATCCGCATTGCATGAGGGGTCCAACTCTCGCCGTCGCTCGGACGTCCATTCCCCGTGAATGTTTCGATTTCGTGGGTTGATTTTTGTTCACATGGTGATTTCGGAAGCCCATCGACGATTCCCACCGCCAAAAATGCGCACGTCCGAACGATGCCTAGCTCGGCCTCCTTGGGGCCGCAGGTGGACCTTCCTATTGGGGCGCGATCTGCACGAGGGGTGTGCCAACTTGGGCGTGGGCAGGCATGCGGGCGAACATCCAAAACGTATCTTACGCGAAATGACTTAGCGACCTTACGCGGCGGCTCATGCGGGCCGCGCGCGCGCGGCACGCCACATCTGGAGACGAGGGCGCTTACGCGCGGCCTCACTCGGGCAGCCTGCGCGCCAATGCCGGCGCAGACGACCCCGTTTCTTCTGGCGTCGCCCCTGTGAAGCCCATCGCTGGGGCCGCAGGTAGAGCTCCCCACGGAGGCACGGTCCGAGCGATCGGCGTGCCGAAAGAGCTGTGGGTCCGCGTGCGGGCGACTCCAGTGGGGCCGTAGGTGGAGCTCCCTATGGGAGCGCGATCCGCGAGAAGTGTGTGCCAACTTGCGCGTGGGCCCGGATGCGAACACCCTCACCGCAGCCGTGGGTGGAGCCCCCATGTGGGGGCAGCGGTCGTGTCGAAGTGGTCGTGGGCCCCGGATGCGAACGCTCTCTCGCTGCAAGTGTGCGGACTTGGGCGTTGGCGCCCCCACTGGGGCCGCGGCGCCCCCGAGTGGGGGCATGATCAGCGCGAGGGTGCCGCCTTCAGGCGGGCCACCCTGCTGGGGCTGTGGGTGGAGCTCTCCGTGTGAGGGCGCGATCCGCGTGAGGGGTGCCCCGAACCGAGCGACGGGGAGAGGGAGGGAGGGGGGGGGAAAGCAGGACCGTCGATCATCGCAGGCCCCATGCAGCCCGAAGGCTGAACATCAAGACCCCGTGGGCCTCGCAGGGCCCGAGGCCTCGCAGGGGTCACTGGCCTCACGGGGCTCCAAGGGGAGGGCCCCCGGCGTCCCCTGCCGTCTTTCCTCGAAGAGCTACGTTGACGGCGAACAGAGGAGCGCAAAGACACGGACGAAGGTACATGCAACCGAGACTCGGGATTTGTTTGTTTCGGCGATGGACAGAACCCCCTTTAGTAAAACGTGGTTTAGTGAAAACGACCGCGGCCCCAAACCTGGCGGGCGCAAGCCTGGAAAATAACGGCCGCGGCGCCCTCTCGAGAACCGAAAACGGACAATTCACTTATCGACGTGTCAGGGTGGGAGGTCTGTCCACCCCCGATTGTTCAAAGGGGATACTGGTGCTGGTGTCGGGTTCTGGTGCGCCGATCGGAGGTGCGCGCGGGATCCCTGCAGTGTGCTCGCACGCACCTTTCTCCTGTCCTCGAAGATCGAGGTTCGGAATAAACGGCGCGCACCAGGGGGTGGCGCGAGGGGGGGCAGGAGAGCCCAGAGTCGGATCGACAAGTCGGATCGGCGATTGAAACGAATCGGATGGGCGGAAATCGGCAGCCGAGTCGGGAGAAGTCGCATCGGCGGAAACCGGCAGGCCTCCTTTGAGGCGTCGGATCACCAATCCCAGCCCGAAGAGCCGCGCCAAATCGCAATCCGAGGTCACCGAGCTCGAGGCGCAGCGACCCGGAGGAATCGACAGGAGCCCCGGGGGGGGGGCAGCCGGGGAGCCCCCCCCGCGCCTCCCCCCGGCGCGCGCCGCCCACGGAAGACTCCGCTGCCTGCGGCCCCGCCTGCCCCGCCCCCGATCTCGGCGACGCCCGCGGCCTCCAGGGTGGTCTCGCCTGCCGGCCCGCGGGGAGCACGCCACAGCCGGCCCCGGGCTCCCTCCCCGCTCGCCCTCGTCCTCCTGACGGCGTGCACGGGCCTCGTCGGACCCGCCCCCAGACCTGCCCGCGTCGTGGGAAAAAAGACCTGGCCCGGCACAGAAACGGAAAGAGCGCTGCAGAAACAGGAACCGAAATTACTCACACCACTGTTCGTACCGGGAGCCTTGGCGTTGAGAGCTTGTTACGTCACCCCTCGCTCTTGGGAGCCTTGGTGTGCAGAGATTGTTGCATTGCCACCCGTTCCTGAGCCTTGGCTGGGCCTTGGTGTCAGGAACTCGTTACGTCACCGCTCTCGTCTGCGAGCCTTGGTCTTATCAGCTTGTTTACGTCACCATTTGCTCTTGGGAGCCGTGGTGTGAAGAGCTTTTTGCGTTGCCGATCGCTCTCTATTCGGCGTCTCTGGGTCTTCTTGGGAGTTCTCTTGGGGCCCTTTTGGAGCCATTTTGGAGGCCTCTTGGGCACGGGGGCCTCTTGGGGCCTCTTTGGGGGCTCTGGGGGCCTCCTGGGAGCATCTTGGGGCGAAAGGCTAGACTTTTCGGTTCGTGGTCCCCCTCTTGGGGCCGTCTTGGGGCGCTCTTGGGCCGTCTTGGGGCCCTCTTGGGCCGTCTTGGGGCCCTCTTGGGCCGTTTGGGGGGCCTTTTGGGAGCCTCTTGGGCCGTCGTGGGGCGGTCTTGGGGGCCTCTTGGAGCGTCGTCAACGCAGTGAAAGCCGAAAAGCCGTGTATGCTAAAAATGCACCTTTTCCATACCCGAAAAAACATGCAAAAACCGTAGGGAAAATCCGGAAACAGCCATTAAACCCATTCACTCCCCCTACGCCCCCCCCTGGACCCCCCCCTTAAGGACTTCGCCCACACCAGAACGTCATCACTCGTACCTCGCTCTTTCCGTTACCACGACGGGGGGGAAGTGGGCCGGCCAGCCAAGACGAAGCAGGGACGGGGATATAGTCGGGTGAGGATACACAGCAAGAACCTCTGAGGTCCAGCGGCTCTGGAGGATGTCTGGGGCGCCGCGGCCTTTTCATAGCATTCCGGAACGCTCTGAGAGCGTTCGGGAACGCTCTGGAACGGAGCCATCCTCGTCCGAGACCTGCTCGCGTCACGCAAAATCACGACGGAGGCGGTTGAGCCGGTCGGGGGCCCTCGCCAGGCCCCGGGACCGTCCAAGAGCGAGTCGGGATGAAAGAACTGGCCTCAGGGGAGAGGGTCGGGACCCCGTATTGATGAAAACAAGACATCGCACGTCTAGGTCCCCATCCCCATTGTCACCAAGCTTCCGCAGCGACACCTGCACACCTCCTGGAGGACGGGACGGATGCTGCGAGACCTTGCGGAGACGGCATCTATACCCACACCCGAGGGGCTAGCAGTGGTGGTGGGAGGTACCTCTATCGATGGTGAGTGCAAGTGCCATCTGCGAATCACCCCTGGCCGCCTGCGAACTACTTCCAGCCGGCCATCCATGCCTGGCATGCCATCTCGGGCCCCAGTCCCTCGAAGCAAGCAAGCAACCCTGACGCCCAGACGGCGCATCGGCACAGAGGAACACGGGCGTCCCGTGCAGATCACACCTTCGTCAGGGCAGCGCTGCATATACGCTGGGGGAGCCCATCGCTGTTTGGGACTCCCGCGCGCACGGTTCTCGCCTCTCCAGATCGGCCTTACAATCCAATCACGGGTCCACTGTGGCCCGTTTCTCGGGCCGCGCTGTTTGGGCCTCCTGCGCGCACGGTTCTCGCCCCTCCAAATCGGCCTCAGATCCCGCCGACACTTTGGGGTCACGGCGTGTGAGATACTTCTCCCTCCCCAAACCCTTCCCCCGGGAGTCTGGTCGGGCCGGTTTGGAGGGGGGGTGGGGGAGGGCCCAAAAAACCGGCCGCACCATTGGAGCCTCAGGGGTCCCCCAAACCAGCCAAGAGGGCCACAAAAGGCCCACCAGACGGTCCAAGAGGGACACGAGTCGCCGAAAGATCGCCTCCAGACGGCCCCAGAGGCTCCCAAGACGCCCCCAAAAACCACCAAGAGGCGGCCCAAAAGACCCTCCAGAAGCAAAAGCCATCCAATTCCCTACAGGAGAACGTACAGGAAGTTTGAAAAGATTAAAATTATCCCGGCAAAGCAACCTAACAGCGATGTGTAGGAGCATATCTGGAAGCATTCCCCTTCAGATTCAGATGAGAATCCAGTTGTAGAATTCTGCTGTTCTCGCAGTCGTAGTCGCATTCGCGATGACAGTCGCAGTGGCAACGGCAGTCGCAGTCACAGCCTCAGCCTCAGCCTGCCTCAGCCTCAGCCTCAGCCTGCCTCAGCCTCAGCCTGCCTCAGCCTCAGCCTCAGCCTGCTTCAGCCTCAGCCTCAGTCTGCCTTCAGCCTCGGCCTCAGCCTCAGCCTGCCTCAGCCTCAGCCTGCATCAGCCTCAGCCTCAGCCTCAGCCTGCCTCAGCATCAGCCTGCCTCAGCCTCAGCCTCAGCCTGCCTCAGCCTCAGCCTCAGTCTGCTTCAGCCTCAGCCTCAGTCTGCCTTCAGCCTCGGCCTCAGCCTCAGCCTGCCTCAGCCTCAGCCTGCCTCGGCCGCAGCATCAGCCTGCCTCAGCATTCAAAATGTGGCCCAGGAATGGAGTTCTGGGAACTAGAAGAACACGAAGTGGCCTACAGTTGGCTCCGGGCATTCAAAATCATGCCCAGGAATGGAGTTCTGGGAACTTGAAGAGCACGAAGTGGCCTACAGTTGGCTCCGGGCATCCAAAATGTGGCCCGGGAATGGAGTTCTGGGAACTCGAAGAGCACGAAGTGGCCTACAGTTGGCTCCGGGCATCCAAAATGTGGCCCGGGAATGGAGTTCTGGGAACTCGAAGACCACGAAGTGGCCTACAGTTGGCTCCGGGCATCCAAAATGTACGCCGGGAATGGAGTTCTGGGAAGTCGAAGAGCACGAAGTGGCCTACAGTTGGCTCCGGGCATCCAAAATGTACGCCGGGAATGGAGTTCTAGCAGCGCCAAGAGCGATTTTGCGAGGATGTCCCAAGCGATTTGGGCTTCGACGGCAGCCGCGCCGGGTCCCGCCCCGGGTCCCGCCCCGACCCCCCTGAGGAGTCATGATGCTCTCTTTTGACCCCACTAGAAACCTATCAGTCTTCGCTGTTAGGCAAAAAACAAGGAATTGAAAATTCTAGGTTGTCGCCTAGAGATCGCACCCCCGAAGCGGAGCAAACTTTGGATTTTTGTAACAAGAACCAGGGCAGCGACGCGGCATGAAACAAAACTAGGTTTCGTCTGGGAGTTGTGCTGGGGGGAGATCTAGGCAAGATCTGGGGAAGATCTGGGCGCAGATCCGAAGGACAAAATCTGGGGAAGATCTGGGGGGAGATCCGGGCGAAGATATGAAGGAATATCTGGGCGAAGATCTAAGGGGGCATCAGGGTGAAGATCTGGAGGAAACTCTGGCGAGATATCCGAAGGGAGATCCGTGGAAGATCTGGGGAAGATCTGGGCGAAGATCCGGCGGGAGATCGGGGCGAATATCTGGAGGAAGATCTGATGGAAGATCTGGGATGATTTGAAGGAAGATCCGGAGGAAGAGCCGGGGGGGGGCTCTGGGGAAAGATCTGGAGCATCTGGCGACATATCTGAGGAATGCGTGGAGGAAGATCTGGGCGAAGATCTCGGGGGAAGATCCGAGAAAGATCTAGAGAAAAATCCAAAGGGGTATCTCGGGGGATATCTCGGCGAAGATTTGGAGGAAGATCTGAGCGAAGATCTGAGAGGATATTGGCGAAGATCTGGAGGAAGATCTGGGGAAGATCTGGATGAAGATCTGGGGGAAGATCTGGTGGGAGATCCAGGAGGAGATCTGGGGGAAGATCTGGGGGGAGATCGGGGGAAGACCTGGGCGAAGATCTGGGGTGAGATCCGGGGCATGATCTGAGGGGGAAAACTGAAGGGTCATCTGGGGGAAGATCTGGGAGAAGATCGGGGGAAAGATCTGGGAGGAGATCCGGGGGAAAATCTGGGGGAGACAACCGAGGGGAGATCTGGGGGAAGCCCTGGGGGAAGATCTGGGGGGAAGATCTGGGGGGGATATCTGAGGGAAGATTTTGGGGAAGATCTGAGGGAAAGATCAAGGGAAACATCTGGGGGGGGGATCTGGGGGAAGATCTGGGGGAAGATCTGGGGGAAGATCTGGGGGGAGATCTGGGGGAAGATCCAGGAGGAACATCTGAGGGAATATTGAAGGGAATATCTGGGGAAGATCTGGAAGAAGATCTGGGGGGAGATCTGGGGGAAGATCTGGGGGAAGATCTGGGGGAAGATCTGGGGGGAGATCTGGAAGGAAGATCTGGGGAAAAAATTGGGGGGAGATCTGGGGGAACACCTGGGGAAAGATCCGGGGGAAGATCCGGGGAAGATCTGGGGAAGGATCTGGAGAAAGATCTGGGGGTAGATCTGGGGGTAGATCTGGGAGGAAGATCTGGGGGACGATTTGGGGGAAGATCTGGGGGAAGATCTGGGGGAAGATCTGGGGGGAGATCTGGAGGAAAATCTGGGAGCAGGTCTGGGGGAAGATCTGGAGGAAGATCTGGAGGAAGGTCAGGGGGGAGATCTGGGGGAAAATCTGGGGGGGGAAAATGTGGAGGGGGAGATCTGGGGGAAGATCTCGGGGAAGATCTGCCGGGAAGATCTGGGAGGAAGATCTGGGGGAAGATCTCAGGGAGAAAACTGAAGGGTCACCTGAGGGAAAATCTGGGGGGAGATCTGGAGGAAGCTCCGGGGGAAGATCTGGAGGAAGATCTGGGTGAAGGTCTGGGGAAAGATCTGAAAGGAAGATCTGGGGGGAGATCTGGGGGAATATCTGTGGGAAAAAAGTGGAAGAACTATGCGATGAGTTGGGGGAAGATCTAGAGCGAGCTCTGGGGGGAGATCTGGGGGAAGATCTGGGGGAAGATCTGGGAGGAAGAT